AAGTGACTTACCCAAGTTTGAGCATATTGATCATGTCAAAATTCACCACATCAAACACCTTCATTGCTTTGTCATCCCCCACAGAGCAGAACAATGCCCCCTCTGCACTTGCTGCAATGCTCTCAACAACACCTGCAGTGATCAAATCAAAGGAAATAATTGTCTTACAGAAAATACATTCAATTAAAATTTCAACAAAATTTTTACCGTAATTTGATCGTAAAATGCTTAAGATGGGTCTGCATCACATACTAAAGCTTAAGATACCGATGTTTAAGTTAGAAAGAGTAACTTACTTAAATGGCTACGAAAATGTTTAACAAATTCAATTCCTTCCTCCACTTTCTTCCAGAATTTGACATGCCCATCGTGGCTGGCTGTTATTACAAAATCGGTCCTGAAGCACAAAAGCAAATAAAAATAAAATGGGCACAGATCTCACTAAAGCGATGGTCTTATCTTAGTTGTGCCATGCTATTTTCCTAGTAGCACATCTGTTTAGCACACAATTCAGATATGATTGTAATGAAGAAGCTTATTTGGATTCCTAAGCAAGCTCTATGAGGAAAACGAGAGAAACAAAGAAATGGAAAACCCCAGAGCACATCAGAGTTGATCAAATCAACAACAATGACAACAAACTTTATTTATATCCCACCCCATCTCCCCGCTCAGAACATCTTACAGAATAAAAAGGCATGTATTCAATGCCATACAATACAGTGTCCCCTCACTTCTTCGCGGTTTGGTTTTCGCGGACTTGCTGTTTCGCCATTTTCCTTCCTTGCTACCCACTGGGCCAAGTTCTAGTTCTGCCACTGGGATACAGCCCAGTGAGTAGCGAGCGAGCAAGGGTGGGTGGGTGAGTGAGCGAGGGAAGGCCGCGAAGGCAGAAGCAGTGGCGGAAGTAGGAGCCAGGCCATCTCTTCCAGGCTCCTGGTTCTGCTGCTGCTTCCACCTTTACGGCTCTCCCTCCCTCGCTACTCACCAGGCCGGGTTCTGGTTCTGCCACTGGGATCCAGCCTGGTGAATAGCAAGTGAGCGAGGTTGGGCAGGTGAGCGAGCAAGTGAGGGAGGGCCGCAACTGCAGAAGCAAAGGCAGAAGCAACTGCAGGAGAAGATGCCTGGAAGAAGTTGGCCAGGCTGCTGCTTCTGCCGCCATTGCTGCCCATGCCACCCTCACTCACTCACCCGCCCTCCCTGGCTTGCTCACTCACCAGGCTGGATCCCGGCAGCAGAACCAGGACTCAGCCCAGTGAGTAGTGACTTTGGGGGGGGGGGGTGAGCAAGCGAGCAAGAAGGGTGGCAAAGGTGGCAGTGGCTGCAGAAGCAGAAGCCTGGCTGCCTCTTCCAGGCTCCTGCTTCTGCTGCCACCGCCGCCTCCCCTCCTTTGCTCACTCACCAGGATGGATCGCAGCGGCAGAACCAAGACTTGGCCCGATGAGTGAGTGAGTGATGGAGTAAAGTGCAAGGGAGCGAGCGAGGATATAAAGCATTCAATTATACAAAGCAAAAACACAAAGACCAATAAAAACACATTAAACATCAATAAAACAAGCCTCATAAGTGTAAAACAAAGCAGATACTATAGCTTTCCTCATTAGATAAGAATTAAAAAAACACCTCTACAGTGGTAATGTAGATACAGTATTTCAGAGGCACTCTCCATGCAGTACTATAATGCAGGTAAATAGATTAGCAACTTACTTAGTACACACGACGTGTGTGATGACATCTCTGTGCATGTAACTGCGTTCATACATTGAAGCACTGGGAAGATTATCCAGATAGACACGTTCGAATTCAAGAACTACAAATATATTAAGGGGGAGAAATTAAGTCTGAAATACAGCAGTTCAGACACAGATTTACCATCTTTGTAAAAATTAGTCCTTGGGATGCTGGTGCACTCTAATCATTCAAACATGCTTACAGACTTCATATTCTATTGGATTCATGCAAAACATAAGCTGTGTGTGTTAAATCTCATATTAAACTCTTCAATGATGAGTTTAAATGTCAGAATCCACAGTACATAGATTTGCAAATGTCAAAAAGAACAAAGAACAAAATATTAGAATACAGAAGAAATGAGTTGAAATCAGATGCACAAAAGTAAAGACATAAATTAAATGCTGACATGATTCTGCTGAATTATTTTAGTGTGTAAAAGTTTGAAATCATGAACACTGGGTTGTCTTGAAAGCCCAGTAAAGATTTGACAGATCAAGAAATGAGCTACTAGTTATGTAAATATTAGTAGTCTTTTCATCTCTACATTTTGCCATATTATTTCACTGACAACCTGGCTCAAAACTGCATGCCCCACTGGTCTGAATAGGACTTGTTTCTAGATTCATTTTGCTGTTATGTATCTTCAAGTCATTTCCAATTTATGAGGACCCTAACAGAGTTTATTTGCCAATATTTGTTCAGAGAAGCTTTACCTTTGTTTTCTTCTGAGGCACAGAGATTGCAACTTGGCCACGGTAATCTACTGGGTTTCCATGGCAGAGCAAGGATTAGATAAGCACGTTATGTATACAGGCAGTCCCCAAATCACGAACAAGATAGATTCTGTACATTTGTTCTTCTTGAATTTGTATGTAGGTCTGAATATGTATATTTTAAAGTGTAACTCCAGCGAGAGAGAGAGATATGTGTGTGTGTTTTCGCTAGCATGGGGAAAGGTTAACACCCCTGTGGTGTTTGTTTTCCTATCTGTGCCTGTTCAGAAGATTTCCCAGTGTGAAAGGCATCTCACCATGTTAAAACAGTGGATGTGGCTCTTAATGAGACATGCTGCATTATCACAGGATGTCTATACCCCACATCACTGGAGAAATTATACTGTTTAGCTGGTACTGCACCACCTGATACCTATCAGGAAGTAGCAGCAAGTAATGAAAGGATCGAGGCATTTACATCTCTGATCCATCCTCTGTTCGGCTATTAGCCAGATGCCAACATCTTAAATCAAGAAATATCTTTCGAAGATCTACAGAGATACCTGCAGCAACACCTCAGCAAGTGAGAGCCCAAAAGTGGCAGGTTAAAATCTGGAACCTCAACCAGTGGCTGAGACCTAATGAGAAACTCCCACATGGGTGCACAGAAGCCTGGGTGACTTGGAAGGCACCGAATAGGCTGAACTCTGTATAATATCACAAAGGACTACCACCTTACCCGCCTCATAGGAAACCTGCTACAAAACAGGAGCTTTTTTGTTGAGTTCCAGCGCCAGAGAAGCAGATGGCGGAAACAGAAGAACGGCCTGCCTCAGGGGAGCATGCTTGCTCCATCCATGTTCAACATTTACACAAATGACCAGCCACTGCCAGAAGGGACAGAGAGTTTCATCTATGCAGATGATCGTGCCATTACTGCTCAAGCAGGGAGCTTTGAGATGGTTGAACAGAAGCTCTCCAAAGCTCTAGGTGCTCTTACTGCCTATTACAGGGAAAATCAGCTGATCCCTAATCCATCTAAAACACAAAGATGTACTTTTCACCTTAAGAACAGACAAGCATCCCGAGCTCTGAAGATCACCTGGGAAGGAATCCCACTGGAGCATTGCAGCGCACCCAAACACCTGGGAGTCACTCTACACCGTGCCCTGACCTACAAGAAGCACTGCCTGAATATCAAGCAAAAAGTGGGCACTAGAAACAATATCATACGAAAGCTGACTGGCACAACATGGGGATCACAACCAGACACAGCGAAGACATCTGCCCTTGCGCTATGCTACTCTGCTGCTGAGTATGCATGCCCAGTGTGGAACACATCTCACCACGCTAAAGTAGTAGATGTGGCTCTTAACGAAACATGCCGCATTATCACAGGGTGTCTGCGCCCTACACCACTGGAGAAATTACATTGCGCCACCTGACATCCACCGAGGAGTAGCAGCCAATAGCGAAAGGACCATGGCAGAGACATCTCCAGCTCATCCTGTTTGGATATCAGCCAGCATGTCACCAGACACAGTGAAGACATCTGCCCTTGTGCTATCCTACTCTGCTGCTGAGTATGCATGCCCAGTGTGGAACACATCTCACCACACTAAAACAGTAGATGTGGCTCTTAATGAGACATGCCGCATTATCACAGGGTGTCTGCGCCCTACACCACTGGAGAAATTACACTGCTTAGCCGGTATTGCACCACCTGACATCCGCTGGGAAGTAGCAGCCAATAGTGAAAGGACCAAGGCAGAGACATCTCCAGCTCATCCCTTGTTTGGGTATCAGCCAGCACGTCAACGACTTAAATCAAGAAATAGTTTCCTAAGATCTACAGAGACACTCGCTGGAACACCTCAGCAAGCGAGAGTCCAAAAGTGGCAGGCTCAAACCCAGAACCTCAATCAATGGCTGATACCAAATGAGAGACTCCCTCCTGGGCACACAGAAAACTGGGCGACTTGGAAGGCGCTGAACAGAGATGCAGAGCCAATCTTAAGAAATGGGGCTACAAAGTGGAATCCACGACATGCGAGTGCGGAGAAGAGCAAACCACTGACAACCTGCTGCAATGCACCCTGAGCCCTGCTACATGCACAATGGAGGACCTCCTTGCAGCAACACCAGAAGCACTCCAAGTGGCCAGATACTGGTCAAAGGACACTTAAGCTTGCAAACTTTGTTTTGTTGGTTTGTTAAAAAATGCAACGCAACAGTTTGGTCTGCCCATGACACGATAAATAAATATCCAGGCCTAGGCAAACTTGGGACCTCCCACATTTCCTAACAGCCTAGGAATGAGTTGAAGTGCAAAACACCCGGAGGGAAGGCCGCAGCCTGGCCATGCCTTGAGGCGCCTCCTCCTCCTCCTCACCTCTCCTCTTTTTGACTTGCGCCGCTTCCCCGGGCAAAGGCCCCACCCAGCGCTCCTGCTCGTCCTCCTCCGCCTCGCCCTCCTTCTCCTCTTCCCCCTCGGAGCGTCCATCTCCTCTCCCTTCTCCTCCTCCTCCTCCTCCTTCACCCTCGCGGTGGCGTCTCTTCCTTGGAGATCCCACATTCGCCATGTTGCTCTTGCGTCACATTCCGGCGACGCCGCGCCGGGAACTGAGGGCAGCGAAGCCTGGCGCGAGGGACTTCGCCGGCAGCCAATCAGGGCTCAGGCAGCGCTGCTTTGAAAACAAAGGGCGGGAAGCGGCCCAGGGAGGAAGAGTCGTCCCAGGAAAGGAAAAGGAAAAGGGAAGGAAGGCAGGCCGCCATGGTAAGAGAAGCCAGGTTGTCGCTTTATGGTCGGGGGGAGTTTTGCCTTATTTGAGTGCAGAATAATAATAATAATAATCTATATACATAAAAATGTAATGTTCGTTTGTGGGATTAACATAACTCAAAAACCACTGGATGAATTGACACCAAATTTGGACACAACACACGTATCAGGCCAACGAGTGACCATCACTCATAAAAACACTGAAAAACACAGCATAAGAGACTTAAAAAACCAAAAAGAATCCAAAAAATTACAACGCATTAAGGACTTTGCCTGCTTTTTTAGGAGTTTGCTATCTGGCCAATAGATTTTGAAGTTAGCTTTGAACTGCATTAAATGGTCAGTGTAAATGGGCTCTTGGCTATGTTTGGTTCTTTTAGGAGTGCTTCACCTGTGGCAATAAGGTATATAGCCAATGCTTGTGCAAAGCACTTGTCCCCAGCCTTTGTTCCTTCAGATGACTGGGTTTCCAACCTCCAGAAATCGGAGCATTAGCCAACCTGGTTGGGATCTTTGGGAACTGAAATCCCAAACACCTGGAGGGCCAAAGGTTTAAAATAATATTCTCAAAGGCTTTCATTTACAATTATTTATTTACAACATTTCTACCCCACTCTTCTCAACTCAGAGCGGAATCACTGGAGTGTTGTGTGGCCATGGTTTAGCAGTTTAGCAGCATTTTCTCCTGATGTTTCACCTGCATCTGTGACTGGTATTTTCAGAGGATCTGATGGTGGTAAAGCAAATGGAGTATATATACCCGTGTAATGTCCAGGGTGGGTGAGAGAAAAGCCATTCAGCCCAGAAACCACACAACACTCCATTAAAACAATACTCCTTGTCATCAGTTATTTGCAGCTGAATTAGAAAAGTATGTTGACAATAAATATAAATCTTATTTGTAGGCTGAAACATTTGCAGAGAACAATCAAAATATGTCTCCAACAATCGCCAGCCCCTTAAGAAGTTCAGATGACCCCAAAGAACAACTCTTAGAAGAATGTGAAGAAATATGGAGACTAATGGAAGAGGTAAGGAGCAGTCTTTCAGAGCTGAATACTGATGCTTTTAAGTTGAATATTGATGTATACTGGTGTGATCAGTGGAACTGCACAGATTAATAAGAGGTACTTCTATAAATTTATTATGCTTATATATGTGCCCAAGCAAGCTGAAAATAAAGAAAAATTAGAAATAATTTTTGAAAAGACATCAAAGGTTAATTCTTGCCTCCTTTGAGTTAATGCAAAACGAACAGTAGTGAGTAAATTAAAAACAAAGCCAAACAAAGAATGCCTACCATATTACACTTACTGTGCTGACAGTGTTTGCTAGCATGAATTTACTATTGGAAAATCTATCAGAAGATGTTGATAGGCTTAAGTACAAAGAGGAGTTTAAAGGAAATGTTAGATATATTGTTAAATAGGTCAAAGTTAGTAAGATTTTCAAAAACGGGAAATGTGCAGCAGAACGTGTTTTTGTTTGAAGATGCATGATCCTTCCAAGGTGAAGCACTTTTAAGCTTTCATTTCAATGGACAAGAGTCCAGATTGTAACTCTCCAATTTATTTATTTATTTCACCATGAGCCCCCCTCAGGGTAGAGAAAGGCGGGACATTAAATAAATAAATATTTCACCTCAAAAGTATTGCATAAATAAACAAATATAAAACTGATAAAATAGAGGGAATACAAGCGGCTACATAACTTTAGACCAAAAACAGGCATTGTCTGTAGCTTTAAATAGTTCTTCCTCTGTGCATGAGGCAGGACATTGCAGGCAAGCATACAGATGTTGAGTTGTTTTTCTGCTCCACAGTTGCACAAGGTGGAGGATTCTTCTAGGTAGTGGCATTTAGCCAGGTTGTCTTTTGATCTTCCCACTCAACTTCTGAGGCTGTTCATGCACTTCCAAGTTGCCCATTTTTGGTTTGCACCTGGAGGAAGACCCTCACAGGGGGCCATCCAGTTGGAATTGCCTGATTTTGCTGCCCACGGGGATATTCTTGCTGTTGCTGGGGAAACATTTAGAAGAGTGGTTGTTCTCATGAAACTTTTCTTTGATTGGAGTCTACTGAGAGGAGGCTGATAGCCATGCAGTGGGTGGGTTTTCACAGTGTTCAACCTTTTTTCTCTTGCAATTGGCCGGGGGGGGGGGGGGTAATGCAAGCGAGCTTATAGAGAAAGCATGGGCAAACGTCAGCCCTCCAGGTGTTTTGGCTGTTAGGAATTGTGGGAGTTGAAGTCCAAAACACCTGGAGAGCCAAAGTTTGCCCATGCCTGTTATAGAGTCATAGAATCAAAGAGTTGGAAGAGACCTCATGGGCCATCCAGTCCAACGCCCTGCCAAGAAGCAGGAATATTGCATTCAAATCACCCCTGACAGATGGCCATCCAGCCTCTGTTTAAAAGCTTCCAAAGAAGGAGCCTCCACCACACTCCGGGGCAGAGAGTTCCACTGCTGAACGGCTCTCACAGTCAGGAAGTTCTTCCTTATGTTCAGATGGAATCTCCTCTCTTGTCTATCAACAGGTGTAGGTTTGGGACATTCTGTGATTATTCTACATGTTTCATTCAGTGTTATATTCACCTGCTTCACATGGGCAGGCATACTCAGTAGTATAGTAAGACAAGGCCAGGGCTGATGGTCTTATTAATTTTGGGTCTGCTCCCCATGCGCTGCTAGTAAGTTTCTAAAGGATGTCATTGCAAGCAGCTACTTTGTGCTTGGTGTTTGTATAGTGGTTCCTAAGTGTTAGTATTCGATCCAAGGTGATGCCGAGATATTTAGAATGGGAACAGTGTTCAAATAAATAAATATACTCTCCAGTTAAAATGAATGGGATCTCAGTGAGTTTAATTAAGTCTTCAATGTTTCAAATTCTGAAGAAATATTAAATGATCACTTGATTAAGCTTTCGATGGAGGGAATAAGATTAATGTGGATGTCTGTATAGATTATTATCTGTCTTTTTTTCTTTTTAATTAAGTGTCAGAATAAATTAGCACTTCAAGAAACAGAAACTCTTCCAGGTTCAGATCCCAAGGTATGATTAGAATTTCCTTCTGAGAACTGTTTCCTTTGCATAGTGTGTCAGGATCAATAAATTTCCAATCCTGTTCGATAGGCATCTATTTATGCACTTAAATGTCTACCTGATCTAATCCCAAATGCGTAACATGGACAGTAATCAGCCTCCCTAACTGCTGGCTGGGGGTGTTGTAAAGTATACACCAGGGGTCCTCAAACTTTTTAAACAGAGGGCTAGGTCACAATCCCTCAAACTGTTGGAGGACCGGATTATAATTTGAAAAAAGCATGAATGTATTCCTATGCACACTGCGCATATTTATTTGTAGTGCAAAAAACACTTTAAAACAATACAAGAATTAATATTAAGAACAATTTTAACAAATATAAACTTATTAGTATTTCAATGGGAAGCATGGGCCTGCTTTTGGCTGATGAGATAGGGTTGTTGTTGTTGTGTGCTTTTAAGTTGTTTCAGACTTAGGTTGACCCTGAGCAAGGGCCAGGTAAATGACCTTGGAGGACCGTATTCGGCCCCTGGGCCATAGTTTGAGGACCCCTGGTATACACTAACAAATCTGGAGGTATCAAGTTGGGAACAGATGGCTTAAATCCTGCATATTTTGAAATGTACGTCAGGTAAATACATTTGCAACAACAAAAATGTAACCAATATAGCTGAAGCTTCCAGTGGAAACATGTATCCAGAGTCACGTATGTTTTAGGTTTTAAATTGTACATTGTATTGTTTTTAATATTGTTAGCCACTTTGCATCACTCTTCAGAGAGAAAAAGCATAATATAATTTTTTAAAACCCCAAAGAGTCCTTCTCAATCAAACCAAAGCTTCATCCAGCGCATGCCTCTAGCTTTTTCCACTGTGGCCTACCAAATATCCCTGGAAAATCCTAAAGATCAGATATGAAAATGATTCCTCTTTCCCATGATTCTTATTGATATGGAGTCTCCTGTAGACATTACAATTAACAGATAGTTGAGTAAATGATCTTTGCTGTTTATCCATGAGTCATAACCATTCTACCCACTGCAGCTAGTGTACATACTAGGTTTTGTCTTCTCTAACAAATCTACTGATATTCCATCTTTTTAAGTACGAGGTCACAGATATTTTTGAATTTGACTTGTTATTATTACAAGCTGGTTATTTAACTTCATCTTATCTGTATTTACATTTAGATGGCTCCATGTTCTCATCTTATATTATGTTATATACTTCTATCACAGTTCTTAAAGCTTAAATGACGCAAACAAAAATATAAAAACATATTATTCAGTGCAATGTTATACTGAGAAAGGTAAAGGTTTCCCCTTGACATTAAGTCTAATCATGCCGGACTCTGGGGGATGGTGCTCATCTCCATTTCTAAGCTGAAGAGCCGGAGTTGTCCGTAGATGCCTCCAAGGTCATGTACCTTCCCGCAGAAACAGCACCTATTGATCTACTCACATTTGCATGTTTTCGAACTGCTAGGTTGGCAGAAGCTGGAGCTAACAGTGGGAGCTCACCACGCTCCCCGGATTCAAACAGCCAACCTTACAGTCAACAAGTACAGCATCTCAGCAGTTTAACCTGCTGCGCCACCAGGAGCTATATTCTGTAACAATATAGAATTTGACTTAAGTTGAAGATTATATTAGGAAGTTTAAGATACACACAAATATATATTCTGTGTAACAACATATTTTAAATGGAGTTTTAAATGTTTTAAATGTTTGACAGCTTCCATTGTTAATGAAACGTTTAAAGGCTCAAACGGCAGAATTTAACCAATGGCAAAAGAAAAAACCGGAAGGTAAGCTATTTTTGAAAACAAAACTTTAAATTGAAAAGCTATGAAGTCTTAGGTTTTTGAAATGTCTAGGCTTCTGTGAAATGTATAATCATTATATTAGTTAATGGCAATCTGTTCTTACTTGTTTCAATAGTATTGTATTTTTAGGCCCCTTTTCCGCTGCCCTGGTGATTAGGACACAGAACAATGGCTTCAAACTACAGGAAAGGAGATTCCATCTGAACATTAGGAAGAACTTCCTAACTATGAGAGTTGTTCAGCAGTGGAACTCTCTGTTGGGCAGATGGGCTTATTAACAAAAGACCCTCCTCATAAAGGCACAGCAGAGTAACTTATCAGCAGCAGCATGACCCAGCACCAGTAGCCCAAAGTGATAGAACAAAAAACACACAGACCAATGTTATATCTGCCAAAGGAGACATTTCTTTATAGCAAAATAATATGGTTGCACTATTTACAAGAACAAGGTTTCCATAACACAAATAAAGTTCAACCATCACACTGGAGCTTGACACAAGCCTTTTCATACCAAGGCCTACCCCACACTCAGGCCTGCTAACAATGAGGCCTATTCTCCTGCTGAGGTGATCTCTCACACAGAGAAGCTTCTCACACACTGTAAGCTCTTTCAGACTAAGGTGTTCCTAAGCAACAGGCTTTTGCTGAGTCATTGCTTTCTTTTAACCCTTTCAGTGCTTGACTTACATTTTTTTGTAATTAAAAATACCTAGTTAATCTTTAATAATAATAATAAACTTTATTTATACCCCGCCACCATCTCCCCCAACAGGGACTTGGAGCTTACATGGCACCAAGCCCGAACAACAAATTACAATACAAAAATACAAATTGCAATAAACAACATAACAGTAAAGTATGAAACATCAAACCATATGAACAATATACACAAAACATAGAAACCAAACATAATGACAGAGAATGGGCCGCATGTACATAAAATTATTTTAAAATTATTTAAAAATTCAGGGTGAGATAAAGGGGCGGAACTGTTTGTAAGGGAGAACTCATAGAGAGACAGAGGAATAAATAAACCTTCGTGGGGGGGGGGGGAGGACAACTCCTGGGGCAAGAACGTTAAGGGAGCAATAGCATAAAATGATGTGACTACTCTCCGAAAGTGCAATGGCAGAGCCAGGTCTTGAGACTCTCTTTCAAGGTTTCTAAAGTAGAGGCTTTCCTAATTTCTCTGGGCAATGAGTTCCAGGGTCGGGGGTCCACAGAGGAAAAGGCTCTCTCCCTTGTATCCACAAGGCAAGCCTGAGAAACTGGCAAGGGCAAAAGGAGGGCCTCCCCCGAAGATCGAAGAGTTCGGGCTGGTTAATGGAGAGAGATAGGGTCATGAAGGAACCGTTTAATATTCCTCACGCTCTCTTCCCCGGACTGCAGTGGAGGCTCCTACTTTGGAGGCTTTTAAACAGAGGCTGGATGGCCATTTGTCGGGGGTGCTTTGAATGTGGTATTCCTGCTTCTTGACAGGTGGTTGGACTGGATAACCCATGAGGTCTCTTCCAACTCAATGATTCTATCAAAATGTAGCCTTGTTTTTTCCTTATTGAAATTTCATTTTAAATGTGCTTGATTTTCTTCATACTAAAGTATCTCGGAAGAGATTTAGCATTATTTATTGGGGGGAGGAGCACCTTTTGTCTTTCTTTCAGTCCGATGTTTATTCTTTATAAATACCTACAAAATAGCAACATAATTCCAGAATTAACAGCTGGTCTTATTTGATCTTGGAAGCTAAGCAAGGTTAGTGTTGGTTAATATTGTATGAGAGACAGCCAATGAATAGCAGGTGCTGTAGACTGTATTTCTGAAGAAGGAACTGGCAAAACTACCGCTTGAGATTTCCTTGCCTAAGAAAACCCCGTAAAATTCATGGCATTGACAGGCACCTTGAAGGCATGGACACACAACTTTGAGATACTATTTTTTTAACTGCAAACTCCTTTAGCATAGCAAATAGCTATGTTGGCCAAGGGATTCTTGGTGCTGTAGTCTACAAAAAGTAACGTTTCTAAGCTCTTCTTTGGCCAGTGTGTATTTAATATGCATGAACATGATTTGATCTGTAAGCTGTAAGGTAAACGGAGAACATAGGACATACAATGATATATATTGGCTTTCCAGATGTTCTCATCTAGATATTGGCTACATCTAAATCTGCCTAAGAGTTGAGATATTATTTTACATCAGGTGCGTTTGGAATGCTTTCCGAACTAAAGGCCATGAAGAATTCACACAAGTGTCTGTGCTATAGGAAAGGTGGGGAAAATGATGGGCTTCCACCCAGGAGAATATTTACTGTATTCTATGGAAATGAATTGAGCCAGTGTCGATTTCTTCATATATTAAAATCTGCTTATAGTCATAATTCTGTTGAAATGCTGCCTCCAGCTGTGTTTTCATTCAGCCTTACATGTAATCACTTTCCCATCATTGTCTTCTCGTAAGTGTGCTTTTGCCTTTAGATTTTTCATTGAAACTTTGTGATGGTTTTAGTATTATCATTTCTTCTATCATTGTTCTTATTGTTGATTGTTTATTGCTTATTTTTGCTTATGTGATTTATATGAATTGTATTGTATTGATTGTTTTATTTGATGTTTTGTTTATTTTTTATTTTTTAAATAATTTTTATTGTGCTTTTTAGTATATACAACGAAAGTGTATATACACTTTTGATGTTTTGTTTATTGATGTATTATTGATGGGCTTGGCCTCATGTAAGCCACACCGAGTCCCTTGGGAGATAGTAGCGGGGTACAAATAAAGTTTATTATTTATTATTATTATTCTTTTTATGCAAAACTTCTAATGCATCTTCATTGATTTACATACATAGTTTTTTTGCTATCAAAATTCCATTGGCTTTTGGTGTCAGAATATCTTTGCTCATAAATAAAATAGGCAACAGCTTTAAGACAACTTGCTCACAAGTAATGGCTCTCACTTATGACATGCCATGATATTTGAAAGACTTTTAAAAATGAGAACTCCTAAGTATTCTCTAACAGGCTATGTGCAATTGTCATACAGTCTATCACTTTAAATGTAAGCTACGTACATTGTTCTGACAGACCATAGTTTTCAGTCCTTTGGTGTTGTTGTTCATTCGTTCAGTCGTCTCCGACTCTTCGTGACCTCATGGACCAGCCCACGCCAGAGCTCCCTGTCGGCCGTCACCACCCCCAGCTCCTTCAAGGTCAGTCACTTCAAGGATGCCATCCATCCATCTTGCCCTTGGTCGCCCCTCTTCCTTTTTCCTTCCACTTTCCCCAGCATAATTGTCTTCTCTAGGCTTTCCTGTCTCCTCATGATGTGTGGCCAAAGTACTTCAACTTTGTCTCTAGTATCCTTCCCTCCAAGTGAGCAGTCGGGCTTTATTTCCTGGAGGATGGACTGGTTGGATCTTCTCGCAGTCCAAGGCACTCTCAGAACTTTCCTCCAACACCACAGTTCAAAAGCATCGATCTTCCTTCGCTCAGCCTTCCCTAAGATCCAGCTCTCACATCCGTAGGTTACTACAGGGAATACCATGGCTTTGACTAGGCGGATCTTTGTTGCCAGTGTGATGTCTCTACTCTTTACTATTTTATCGAGATTGGACATTGCTCTCCTCCCAAGAAGTAAGCGTCTTCTGATTTCCTGGCAACAGTCTGCATCTGCAGTAATCTTTGCACCTAGAAATACAAAGTCTGTCACGGCCTCCACGGTTTCTCCCTCTATTTTCCAGTTGTCAATCATTCTTGTTGCCATAATCTTGGTTTTTTTGACATTTGGCTGCAACCCGGCTTTTGCGCTTTCTTCTTTCACCTTGATTAGAAGGCTCCTCAGCTCCTCCTCGCTTTCGGCCATCAGAGTGGTGTCATCTGCATATCTGAGGTTGTTAATGTTTCTTCCAGCAATTTTCACCCCAGCTTTGCATTCATCAGCCCCGCACATCGCATGATGTGTTCTGCATACAAGTTAAAAAGGTTGGGTGAGAGTATGCAGCCTTGCCGGACGCCTTTCCCAATCTTGAACCAGTCTGTTGTTCCATGGTCAGTTCTTACTGTTGCTACTTGGTCCTTGTACAGATTCCTCAGGAGAGAGACAAGGTGGCTTGGGATGCCCATCCCACTAAGAACTTGCCACAATCCTTTGTATTTGGTAAATACTGTATTTCTTCAATTCTAAGATGCACTTATTTCCCATATAAACATTTCTAAAAATGGGTTGCATCTTATACTCGCAGGTATCTTACGTATCTTTACGTATTTTCTTGGTGGTGGTTGTATAGAAATTAGCATCTTTCTTGCCATCGATGGCATCTGACAATTGAAGGAATATGCTAATTAATACATCTCCCCATATCCATCACATTATCTGGAGCCCCTTGCCTTTCACTAATAGTAGCTCTCTTATCCTTCAACGTACAATCCTACCTTGCATATAGACCTAGTTCTTCAGTCCCAAATAGTGATTATAAATCTGCTGGGAAAATTAGTTTGAAAATTAACTCTGCTCAAAATCCACTGCAAATTTGACTTAGCATATCATTTTGACGGGGGGCAGGAAAATCTGAGCTGAACTTGCTGACCAAAAGGTTGGCGGTTCGAATCCAGGGAGCAGGGTGAGCTCTCACTGTTAGGCCCAGCTTCTGTGAACCTAGCAATTCGAAAACATGCAAATGTGAGTAGATCAATAGGTACCACTTTGGCTGGATGGTAACGGCGCTCCATGCAGTCATGCTGGCCACATGACCTCGGAGGTGTCTACGGACAACGCCAGCTCTTCGGCTTAGAAATGGAGATGAGCACCACCCCACAGAGTTGGACAGCAGTTCAGCAGTTTAACCCGCTGTGCCACCAGGGGGCCATTCACCCCAAAAGCAATGGCCAAATCCCCACGCAGCAGATATGCAGATAATCACTAGGCTTATATTGCTAGAGAGTATCTCCACTATAACTGCCAAAAAAGAATGATTAATACTGATCTTTGTTGTACTTTTTCCAAATGTTGCATGGGAGAAAGGGAGAAAATATCTGCTTTTTGGCTATCCCTTTCCACCACTCTTTACAGAAGGAAAAAGGAAGAGAAAAAGAATATGGTTAATTTCCCGAGCAATGTATTCTACAGCTTTTCACACTTGGTTAGAGAACCACCACACCACACAAATTCCTTAGGAAACAAAAGGTGCTTTTGCTTACAGAGCCTACCCCTTCTCTGTCAGTTCAAATAAATACCCATAAGTATGAATAATGTACATAATTATAACTGAATATCTGTTGTAAATATCTGTACTAAAAAGAGAAAGAAAGTAATTGCTTCAGCACAATTTTGACATATGTTGCAAAGAAATTATCCTTTAGTTGAAAAATATATTGCCAATTTTGTTTTTCAGTGATTACTACAAATCCAGAGGTTCTGGTCGCCTTAGGAAGAGACCAGGTATGCCTTTTAACTAATGAACTGGTTATTCTCGCATTAACACACCAGTCTTAGGAATAAATATACATATATCCCACCAGCTTCCCTGTGAATGGGAAATGTGCAGCTGTGCTGATTATGTTGGATTGCAGCTGCTGGCAGATCTGGCTTTCATAAACAAATAGTGGGAGTTGGAACAGCAATATCTAGAAGTTTTCATAGTCAACATCTCTGTCCTAGGAAGCAATTGATAGGTTCTGCATCTTTTACTAGTGACACATTGGTTTTAATTTATAGAACTGTTGGGGTATAATAACAGGAATGTTGATACATTGATCCTTTCCTCAACCCAATGTCCTCCAGATGTGTTGGCTGGGAATCGTGACAATTGCACGCTAGCACATCTGGAGAATACTATCTGGTCTGAGTCCTCTTTGGGGTGAGAAGGGCAGGGTATAAATGCAGTAAATAAATAAATAGATTAGGGAAGCTTGCTCTACAGCAGGTGTGGGTAAACCCAGGCCCAGGGGCCGGATGCGGTCCCTTGGGCTCTTTTCTTAGGCCCTTCTCTCTCCCACCATCCCTTCCTTACCTCCCTCTTACTACCTCCTTCCCTTTTTCCTTCCCTTCCACCCTTTCGTCCTTCCTTCCTTCTCTTTTCTCCCTTCTTCCCTCTCTCTCTTTCTCCTTCCTTCCTTCCCTTTTATCTTCCTTCTCTCTTTCCTCCCTTCCACCATTCCCTTCCATCCTTCTCTTCTTCCATTTCTTCCTTCTCTTTTTCTTTCTTCCTTTCCTAGTAAGGGATGTTTAGCTGGGAGAAGAGAAGGTAGAGAGGGAACACAAGAACCATATTTCAAGATTTAAAAAAGGTGTCCCATTGAGGAGGAGGGGAAAAAATGAGAGAACAGGGCACAAGGGAGCAGTGGTTTCAAATGGCAGGGAAAGAGATTTGACTGAAAAGATTAGGAAGAACTTCCTGTGAGTAAGAGCTGTTGGAGAGTGGTATAGGCTGCCTGGGGTATGGTGGAGTCTCCTCTGGAAGTTTTTCTGCAGAGGCTGTCTATCAGGAGTGCTTGGGTTGTGCCTTCTTGCATGGCAGGGAGTTGGACTGGATGGCCCTTGGTGGACTCTTCCAGCTCTAGGCTTCTACATCAGGAGAAGACAATAGGGGTCCAATAGATGCACTTTTCCTCTCCTATCCACCATCTCATCCTGACCAAGGGATCCAAAAGTTTCCTGTCTTTTCCTTCACTTTCACTTGGGGCGAACCCCCTCCCTCCCGGCTCACCCGCCCACCCCACTCCAACATGCGGCCCCCAAATTAGAAAGTTTGACCACGCCTGCTCTACAGAGTGTAAAGCTAGCAGTGGAACTGAAACAGTATTATGCCCTGGAAAATATCATTTACAGTATATGCTGGAGCAGCCATGTGGTTGTGATTCCTCCCTTTTGACCCCATCTCCTATACAAATTAGGACTTCAAAATATTTTTCCCCCAAATAGGCAATAATTCCCTCCAAATGTTCATTTCTCTCCATTTGAGGTAATTTTGCATCATACTTCTACCCTAGAAAAGGTGATCCTGTCCCAGGGAACGAATGGACAATAGTGCTCCCAATAGACTTTGGGCATTTTTTTTTGGTCAAAAGTATTTTGACCTCTGAATTTGAGACAGATTGCATTCAGCTTGATGGAGTTTAGGTCTGTGCAACTTCCTTGAAGGTATTATAAATCAGATGATAGTTTATTTTTAAAACCCAACATTTTATTGAAAGAGCATCTGCAAACATTACTTCTGTGTTGTTCCAAATCTGGGCCTAACAAGCAAACCTAGAATGTGTTTGTGGTAGGATTTTAACATAGTGGTCAAAGAAATGCTATGCAACATTACCTGCGAAAATTCCTGTGGTTCCTCTGGTAAAACAAATAATTATAGTATAGCTAATAAATGAAGTCACATTTACATTAGAAATGTTTTTACTTTTTAAAAAGCTTCCTCTGTCTTTCTCTGGATGTTGTTATATTCCAACAGTTTCACTTATTAAAAAGCCTATAGGAGCTGGCCCAGTATTTTTTCAACAAAATAAGAGCTTAGTTTTACTTTGAGGAAACATCATACATTCAAAACCCTATCTCTTTGACATTTCTGCTTTCTAGACAGCTTAGCTGAAAATCTCAATTTTTATAATACATGTGTGTATACATATTTCTTTTTTTTCTTGGGTGGACATTAGTCTAGATTTATAACTATAGAAAAACCATATGGATGGTTATGTGCATAAAATGGCTCAGATATACTGTTCTGCTAACATCTGTGGACCCCTCCTATTCCACTGCTGTGGCCACCAACTGGAGGGACCTCCTGGTTACTGTACATCAAACATAGATGGCTACCTATTGGCTTTTGCTCATATTTAAACCTCCCAATACTGTAGCATTCATATAAATTTAGGTATATAACAAGCATGGGCAAACTTCGGCCCTCTGGGTGTTTTTGACTTCAACTCCCACAATTCCTAACAGCCAGTTGGAATTGTGGGAGTTGAAGTCCAAAACACCTGGAGGCCCGAAGTTTGTCCATGCCTGGATATATAAGTACATCATGCATTGTCATGTATTGAGTTTGATAGCAATTTCACAAGAATTGCTTCTTATACACAATATCTTTTTTTCTTTTTAGTTGCAGAAATTAGATCAGGAACTTGAGATGGTGTTATCAACAGTTCAGGCAAGGAATAAAAAACTGAAGCAAGACTTGCTAAGGTATACATTGTATTGGACCCAATGTGATCTTGGAACTATGTAATTGGTGCTATCAAAAAAAATTGGGCTACTTTATATGTTTTTCTGTCATTGTGTTAAAAGGGAACAACAGTGGCTGGAAGAACAGCAACAATTAATAGACTGTCTCAATCAAACTGAGGAAAAACTCAACAATGAAGTTGTCAACTTTTCTGAGAAAAGGTAGGTAGACAGTTGTGTCTTATGTCCAGTACACATCTAGCAATACAGTCTTTATCCTTTGTGCCCTTATAGTCCTCCAGAGATGCCTAAAAATCTGCTCCAGAGAGATTCCCAGCACTCTACGGATGCTTTCAATGGTTGCTTCAGGCGGAAATTATCCCTCCTAATTCTGCTGGCAAAAATAATTCCATCAGTGACATATTCTTCAAGATTCTTAAGGAAAAACTGGATAATTGGGAATTATTTGACAAATAATGTTGCACTATTAAATTTAGCTTTTGTTTGCTAGCTGATTTGGTAGTGCTAGTTGCCAGTTAGTTTAATGTTAATGAATTACCATATTTACACAAATCTAAAGTGCACTTTTTTGGCCAAACCACCATGCCAAAATTGGGGTGCACATTACATTTGTGAAATATGGTAAAGTGCGGGTGTTCACCAGCCTCCCTGTTTGCCCCAAGTTGCAGCCTCCTGGGGTGGCGTGGGTAGGCAAGGATGGTTCCCATCAGGGCCCAGTTGAGACTGTGTGCAAGGGGGGGGGGGTCACCAGCAGCAGAAGGAGGCGGCTTTGGCGAGCGAGTGGAATCTGAGGAAACTGGCCCTGGGAGCAGAGGAGGTGAAGGACGAGAAGGGAGGCTGTCTGGCGCATGCTCCCTTGCCTCTCCTGTGCGTGCACCTGCCTACCTTCTCTCTTAAATCTTTCTGTCAGTTTAATCATCACTGCTTTTACCCCTTTTGTTTACTCTGCTTGCAATGAAAATACCCAGTCGCCTCCTATGGTGCCATTAAAATGTAGATGGGAAGGAGGAGGATATTTCTTTTAACTGAGAAATTAGGGTGACGGAGTAGACACACAAATTGCTCTACTGGAGAACCTTGTTTATTTCCTTCCTTCTTTCTACCCTTCCCTCTCTCTTCCCTTTCTTTCTTCAACTCCTCCCTTATATCCTCTTGTCATCCATCTCTCCCTTTTTCTTTCCTTCCTATCCTCTTTCCATCCCTCTTTCTCTCTTCCTTTTTCCCTGTTACTGCCTTCTATCCTCTTTTCATCCATCCATCCCTCCCTCTTCCTTTTCTCCCCGTATTGCCTTCTATCCTCTTTTCATCCACCCATCCCTCTTCCTTTTTCTTTCCTTCCTATCCTTTCCATCCATCCTCCTCTCTTCTTTTTCTTCCCTTGACTTCTTTCCTTCTCATCCCATTTTCTTTTCCTCTCTCATTGCTTTCTTCCTTTCTTCTTTCCCTTCCTTCCTCTTTTCTTACCTTCTAACCTCCATCCATCTTCTCATTTTCTCCGTCTCCTTTTTCTCTCCCCCCCCCCCCCCCCCCCCCCAAACTTTCCTCCTTTCAATTTCCCAGTCTTCCTTTACTTCCCATCCAGGGTTATCTGATTCTCTAGTGTTACTTTCCATTTTTGGAAGATTTGGGAATCTTAACACTTTTTACCTTTAAAGAAGGAATTCTAAGCAGGCAGCCACTTGTAATGCACACCTTTTTTGTAATGCTGTGCATTACATTCCCCAGCAAATACTTTTTTTGGTTTCAAGGTTTTAAAAACTGGGGTTGTCCATTAGATTTGATGGCACACTAGATACAAGTAAATATGGTACTTTATTATCACTATGGTATTAGAATGCGGATTTAAAAGTAATCTCAGCAGGTTTTTTGTTTTTGTTTTAGAGCATTTCAAGAATTGAAAACTAAAATGCTGACAGTACATGCTTTTAAGAAAGAGATCTGGACGGCCTTGCAAGAGTTCCTTGAAGAACATTTCCCTTGCCCCGAGAAATGTGAAACTACAAGAAAGAAGCGAGTATGGTCATTTGTATTTTCATATTAAAACAAGAACTCTTTTTCTTTAGATCAGGGCTTCTTAAACTTTTTCCACTTGTGACCCCTTTCCACCCAAGAAATGTTTACATGACCCCAGGTATATAGGCATATAAAATAGGTGTAAAAACTAAAAATTTACCGATAAAAAATCAGCATGCACAAGGCCTGCTAAACAGGCTTATTTTCCTTTATATGGAGTATAGCTGAAGCATTTTCCGCAGAGTCCACTGTAAACACTGAGAGCCATTCAGCAGTGGAACTCTGCCCTGGAGTGTGGTGAAAGCTTTTCAACAGAGGCTGGATGGCCATCTGTCAGGAGTGCTTTGAATGCAATATTCCTGCTTCTTGGTTGGACTCGATGGCCCATGAGGTCTCTTCCAACTCTCTGATTCTAACATTGCATATTGTTGCTAACAGGTTCATATAAATGTCAGAAAAGAGCTACTAGGTGGCAATACTTTTACTGATGCCAAATTTTTGGGGCCCCCAACACTGTGGTAAGGGGACCCACAGTTTAAGAAGCAGTGCTTTAGATGATAACTAAATCCAGAGATGAAAATGATATAAGCACACCAACATTGCAATCCAAATAGTTTATTTATTTATTTAGGGCTTTTATGTCCCGTCCTATCTCAACCTCCGTAAAGGGACTCAGGACCGCTAACAAATCGGCACCCACATCAAAACATGAATATACAATGTAACAATAATATAATAAAACAGCAATATAAGCAGTATAAACAGTATAAAACCATATGAACAATATAAAAGCAGCATGGCCCTTATTCATCCTGGATTCACCCAGCAAGTGCTTGTCTTGTCAGAAGCACTATTTCTAAGAACAAGTTCAGTTTCTGAGCCTTCTCTTGTATAATGTCCAGCTGCCCATCTGTCCTTGAACTTCCTTAGTTTCAGCTTATTCTGCTTCTGGCAGTTGTGGTACCAGCCTCTCCATCTTGCAGGCTATAAGAAGTGGTGCATATGCTTAGCCTTGCAGTTCTTGCAGGAAACCATTTCAGGCAGCAAACTGTGATCCCACAAGATCTTTTTCTTTTTCAAATACAGTTGAGACTAGAGTATCTACTATGCCTCCTGGTGGTCACTTTTAACATATGTTCCAAGGGACATCCATACTCTCATTCTTAAAAACCACATTGAACGTTCTTCCAGATTTAAATACCCGCAGATTCAGATGCTTGAGATATGCCTTTGGCATGCTTTGTTTCTCTACCTCCTAAGAGAGGGTGAAAATCATCACTGCTGAAAATAAATGGTAAAAATCTATCTCATCCATTTGGATATTTGTTCTTTTAAGAGATACCATCTTCCTTAGAAAGCTATAACTTATGTGAAGATGTTGGAAAGGTACATGTAGATGTATATTTTATTTTGATAGTCAGTTTAAGCTAAGCATAAACACAAAATATTAAGTGCAAGCTGAATTTAATCACAGAAAATATTAGATAGTATTTTTTTAAAAGAACACTGAATTTTTGTCTACTTTTCTGTTAATTCAGACCAGAGTAGCCATAGGTAAAAGTAAAGATTTCCGCTTGATATTAAGTCTAGTCGGGTCTAACTGGGGGATGGCATAATCTCCATTTCTATTATGGTGTTGTCCGTAAATACCTTCGAGGTCATGTGGCCAGCATGACTGCATAGAGCGCCGTTACTTTCCCACCTGAGCGGTACCTATCTACTCACAATTGCATGTTTCGACCTGCTAGATTGGCAGAAGCTGGCGCTATCAACAGGAGCTCACCCCATCCCGCAGATTTGAACCGCCAGTCAACAAGTTCAGCAGCTCAGTGGTTCAACCCACTGCAGCCATACATTTTCAAATTATCTTCCATGTTCATTCTTGTTAAAAGCTTATTACATAAAAATGATAAATGAAATACCAAGAGCTTGAGAATGCAAACTGGTTTATATGCAAAAATATTTCATGCTTTGCATACATTGGGCCGAGGTCTGTGTTTTCTAATATTCTCTATTACAATTTCCCAAATCATCAAGGTCTTAGCATATAAGCAGATGGCTCCATTTGGAACTTGAGGGCTCATGAACCATGAGTGTGAATGAGAAGTTCATTTGAATGAGGATGCCATCTATCCCTATTGTATAGTTTTAAATCTGTGATTCTCAACCTGTGGGTCCCCATGTGTTTTGGCTTACAACTCCCAGAAATCCCAGCCAGATTACCAGCTGTTAGGATTTCTAGGAGTTGAAGGCCAAATCATCTGGAGACCCACAGGTTGAGAACCACTGTTTTAAATGATATGAACATGAAAGTGTGTATTCTCAGCCATATACTCTCACATACATAGCTTTTATACGCCAAATTATTCTTAGTATGAATGACGTTTTCAGTTCTCTATAAAACTATTTTTCTTTGTGAATATGGCTGTCTTAAGTATGTAATTGTCTTTTTGCTTCTTGTAGCGTTCATCCGAAGAGCCAGAGGTAGACCGAATAACATTACATGAAATTTTAGAGGTAAATAGGATTTTTGTTTTGTTTTGTGTTTGCTGCAGTTAAAGGCTGATATTAATAGGCAGCAAAATAAGTATGCAAGGAATTAGTGGCTTGGAATTATTTGTATCAATTATTTTATTTCTTTCAATGGTATTCAGATTTTTTGTAAGTTCTTACTATATTTACTGAAATTTCAGGCCAACTATGAGAAATCTAATCTGAATTTTTTTCTCATTTTCAGAATCTTATAGCAAAACATGTAAAAGTACCTCATGATCCATATATAACAATCAATGCTTCGTTTTGGGAACCTTATATTGAACTTCTTCTGCGATCTGGGATTGCATTAAGACATCCAGAAGATTCTGCCCGAATACGGCTAGAAAACTTCAACAATTAGTAACATGTATTAAGATTAAGCCATCACCTACTCAGTACAATAAAATGAACAATAAGGGGTATAAAGATATTTTTTGCCTTAGAAAATATTTGTTAATGATTTGTATCTTTCATGCTAGTTCTTAACACTTTCTGTAAAGTATAAACTACAAAATGCATGTTAGTGGGAGATTGTAAAAAGTGCTTCTAATGTTATTTTAAAAATAATTATTAATAAATAATGCTTGTATTATAAAAGCTGTTCAGATTGTTATAGTAAGATCAGTTCAGATTAAATGACAATTTTAAGTTTCTTTGTCTGTAGTTTTCCAAACAATTTTGCTACCATGAACTCTCTGATTATATCACCAGCATAAAAGTAAACAATATGTCTTCCTGGGATTATATGATGAGAAAGAAATAGAATATTTGCTTCAAAGTCATTAAGACGTTGTGTTGACACATACCTGGAAAGGAGAGACAAAGGAAACTGAGACAAGGGTTGAGGATATTTACCATCATTCTGTCTCACGTGAGCCCTGCTGATTGGTAAGCCTTGTTAATTGCCATATAATTAGAAATAGGCCCTTTTGAACATTTCAGAAACACAATTACAATACCTGTGGTTTTAGTTACTTGTGTTAAAGAAAAGGTTATCTAGGCATTTTCTGTGTCAAGTGTGATTCTGTAGTACGGCTTCCACCTGAAGTTGTTCATGTTAATAGCGTTCACTATTATCCAGTTTTGTGTTTCTACATTACATCCAGGAAAGTATCCTCATGGATAATGGTGGTCATGCTGTGTTGTAGATAATGCCACTTATTTCTATAAGAAAGAGGTATTTTTAAAAAAAAATCACAGAAAATTTCCATCCTGTTCTCAGATCAATTAAATTCCAAATTCTTCAGTACAGTAAATAATATCTAACACTAGCATCAACTAGGTAGTTTTTCAGGGAGAAAGTTGGCATTGTCAAAGGCCTTGTAGAAAGAATGGGCAACTGCCAGAGTTTGAAAGCACATTGGTCCCAAGGGAAGCCTGTTTTACAAAAAAAAAAAAAAAGGCCCAAAATTCTCCTGTATGCTTACAAAGAGTCATGAGGGCAATTTTGATAGTCTCAGTCAACTCAGTTTTGATTGTAGATGACGTCTCCTATGGGCTATATTATTTGCTGAGCTCTGTTATTTGTGTTATGTTAGAAATGTTGGAACTGTAGTATTATGTACCCAGGGCCAAAAACCAGAAGTTATAGTTACTAACAGTGCCAGATCCTGAGAATATCCTTATAAACAATAAACAAGCTCTTGAAACATTCAGTGCTGGTCACATAGACCTCAGATAAGAATTACTACATGTGCATTAGATATTGTTCATGTACACTTTATCTGTATTCCTCTGAAATTCTATAAAATACTGATGCTTGGAATAAACTTTATCTGTCTTGAACAGTGCAATGAATAGGTTGGACTGAAAACAATGCTAAGGCTTGACAAAGCATTTGCCAAAGTTATTGTTTGTTGTCTGTTTGCCTTCCTGCTCAGATTCAGGGCTCTTTCTAACTCCATTTTCCCTTGAGAAATACAGTAGGGTTGATATTTCAACACGGCTATAAAGATGTTCTACTTTCCTCTATACACAAGAGGGAAATGAATAGAAACCTCCTATCCTAATTCGTGAACAATTGCTGTTTGTTTGAAACTATTTCTGTTCTACCCTTCTATATTTGCAGAATTTAGGGAAAGCGTAATAAACAGCTACAACAAAAATGATAAACCAGACAACTGTAATTTTAAAAAAAATCCTAGGAGAGAATCCCAAAGAATTCTCAGCCAGCAGATCAAAACACCTGCTTTTTTATAAAGGAAAACTGCAGGCCAGAAGAAGAAAATGGAAAAGGGGAGAGAAACATGTCTCAAGATAAGGAATTTTGCAGTGCCTTGGTCATCACTGGAATATGAAAAAAAACATCCCCAGGAGATCTTAGGAGAGGACAGTCTGGTAATCCCCAAGGGTTCTTGGGTCTAGGTTATTTAGGTTTTAGAGCAGTGGTTCCCAACCTTTTTTTAAACTAGGGATCACTTGACCAGGGGCCACTTAACCAGGGGCCACTCTCCAACATTAGTACCAAAAGGGTAACAAATCAGCTTTTGGTCAACTTTACGTTTGGTTATGTGGGGTGCTGATTCAGAAATTTGTATTGCATAGACCACATCAGCTCTAGTTCATGGTACAGAACATATGCCATCCAGTAGCCTCCATCCGCTCACGCACAGAAAATCACCTTTAATAATCTAGAGCTGATGTGGTAGTAATAATCTTTCATGGGTAGTCAGCCTCTCCCTTCCGACATCCCAGTTGCCTTGACACTATAAGAGGGTTTCACGAGACCAGTCGCTCTCGTTGCCACATGGTTTCGAGGCAATTGTGTAGTAATGGTGAGGCCACGGACCATATTTTCATTCTTGCAGACCACTGGTGGTCCATGGACCACAGGTTGGGAAACACTGTTTTAGAGATAATCGCATTTTGAAAATTAAGATATCATTAGAGTAACATGGTGAACTATTTTGAATGTGTCCACCTGAGGGTGGGTGACCGGGACAGAATAGGGATTCTGTTAGTGTACTGCCCACCTC